CTCATATCCCCCAAAAACCTGCTTGGGCGTGAATAGATCCTTGTCTTTAGGCCGGTCCTCGTAACGTCCTATCGAATACATCTGTCTATACAGAAGTCTCTCAGGCGTTCATTACGATAGCATTTGTTCCCCTCTTGGTGGCTGTTTTATAATATAATTCACGAATTATTTGAACAGTGAATGGCGAAGCTCGTTCGTTGATGGTAGCGCTTAAAGCTGAATAAACACCCATTTTTGGCTCTGGCCGCCATTTGGCCACACATATGAAAGCTCCATGATGTTCACGAAAAAGTTAGATTTTATTTTTTTCTGACCAGGAACATATTACTGATTATATAAATAGTAATATAGTACATATCTATTATCAAATTTAGTAGATCAATAAAAGTTTTCCGCTAGCATTCCGATTTTTGACAATCTTATAAATATATTGTTTTATCAAAACGTTCGAGCATAATTTAATATCGTAAAGAAACGGGGATACAAGTGTTAACTAGAAATATTTAGTATTTTTGGCTGCCGTTTTCGCTCCTAAAGACAGTAATTGTCCAGGTAATTTGGAACGCGGGGCAGGGCTATGTCGGTTATGATTGGCACTTGTGCTTTGAAGCGGCGCGGTTGCTTGGACATGACGCACTACGGGTCTGTGAACGCGACTTCTCAGCGTTGAAGATTAAGGCTATCATCCACCACGCGAAAAAAAATCATAGGAAAGGAAACTGTCGCAATATACACTCGCCTTTTTTCCAGTGTTATCACAGATGTCCCAAATAGAGGTAACGAGTTGGAAAATGGCGCCACTTCCTCCCACACGTCCACCGGTCAAATCAGTCGGGTCGGTTTATTGGTCCTGGACTCGCCCAGGGAGAGCACTGGCTTGCTCTTTTTTGACTAGCCCCGAAATTCGTTGCATAGGCCGTATTCCATTCAGAATGCTATTACGATTAGGACCTGAAGTAGAATGCGTGGCGCGCTCGGAAATCACTGAAGCGGCATTCCTTTAGCCCAACGAGCCTGACAAATGTTCTCAGAAATTTTGGATCTCCAATGCATAGCGCATTCTGATAGTTTTTCATAGTGGCTTCAAGCTCATACTTGCCATTCGCTGTAACAAGTATTTTTTACAATTTTTTTTAAATATTCTGTTATATGCACATATAGCTCCGCCGCATTTGGCAGCGTCACAGAATGATAGCTATCGTTATCAATCCCTACTCCCCAATGATTCAGGGATTGCTTCAAAGCAGTATGAAGCTTATAGCTTCCTAACAACAGTTTCAAGCTCCACAGGGGTTTTTGGTTTCGCGCCATCACCTTTCTGCTGTGAAGTTATTTTCGAATAGGCCTTTTAATATGCCAAATTCCCCTCCCCTTGGACAGACTGATATTCCCCGTAAGACTGGTGCGAAATGGGTACTCGGCGCGATTTTATACTCGATAATCGACCGGTTTCAAACAAACAACAACAAACCTGAGCGTGATTCATGATCGGTCAATCCAACAATAAGTAAAAGTTAAAAAAAACTTCTAAAGATCATGCAATCAATCAATAGGCATTGCGTTGTACTTGGGCTTATAGCTTTTCATAATCTCGCTGAATTTCCTACATCTTTCGGATCAACACTTTCCTCCTCCTCCTACCCCCCCCCCAACCCTTGCCCCTACAAATTGCTGTTCTTCTTTGAAGGGTTAATGAATTGATCGAGAGAAGAAAGTGTTTGAAAAGGACTAGAACTCATATGTTGACTATTGTACTTTGCAGCTTAATGGCTTATTGTGGAACCGGTATGTGACCGGAAATCCGGCAATAGCAGCAGTTGTTTCTTCCTCAAGACTTCATCAATTTTGAGATGATCATGTGACAAGAACTTTCTTCAATTTCCTATCATTTTTCCCCTTTGCGAAAACTTAAGCACACCCCTGTGCGCAAAACGCCTCTTAACTCTGAATCAGTATCTGGTTTCTTCAACGTGTCACCAGGTGCCAGCCATAAAAGTGCAGCCGCTGTGCTTATTTTCAATCCACTTTGGAATAGCGCCAATGCGCATCCAGCAGCTGTGCCTAGTCGCCTTAACATCTGTGTGGCTGAGTGGCTTATCGATCTTTGCCTCCACATATTTTTTCTTTTGCTGTTTTTCATTTGAGCTTGGCACTAAGTTGGAGGGTTAGCTAGCAAGGGCCTTTATAGGAATGAGATCCCTTCGATTGAACTCTCAATCATAAGAAAGGCGCCGCCTCCGATTTTCTTCTTTCATCAATAATTATTTGTAGTTTAATAAATGTATGTGGGAAATCCATGGAGATTGACAGGGCTTGTAAATATTGATATGCACCGCAAGTATTCCTGTGCCGGCTTTTACTGCCTGCAAAAACGCCGCTTTTTGTTATGACTGTGATAGTATCGCTTTATTCAAACTAGTTCCGCTACAGTGAACAGTGACTTATGGTGCCGTAAGGTGTTAAGGGTAAATCGCTATAAAATGCAAATCCCCGTGTCACAATAGTTGTTGATCAAAATTCCTTGATAGGAACACTTTTCTGGTTTTCTGGGTGACTTCGTCTCCTTTGCGGAGGCACCATGTCACACCTCTTTGAACTTTCACATTTCATCGGCATCAACTTGACGCAATCGCTGGCCTTCAATGCGAAAGTTAGAGGGTTTCGAAGCTCCGACCTCTCTTGGATTTTGCGATTTTGGAGTTGTTGGAGAGGGGGAGGTGGTCTATTACTTCACATAGAAGGCAGTCGTGATGAAGAGCTGTCATTTCAGGTCTTTCAGTGACCAAGGCTTAGTCGGCGTTAAAAAATGCTCTTTCAAAGGTCCCTTTTCTCGTTACATACGAAGCCAGAGGTTTCCAGGTGATTGCGCGTTTAGAAACGGCTGTTTTCAACAATTTTCCGGATGTTGTGATGCCCATGTTGAATATTTTCTCGCGCTGTGGCCTTTCCGCTGACGTGTTCAGCTCATCGAAGCGGAATGTTTCCGGCAAATATAGAAAACAGCTTAAATTGAATTTATTTCATATAATCCACTCCGTCATGCGGTTGTTTCTTTGTCACCTAGGTTGTACTAGAGCTGTAAGTAAAATACTAGGCTCTTCAACCTGATACCAGTAATTTGTTAAGTAAATTGAGGCCATAAATTCTCTAGGTCATATTAATTTATTTGAATTTTTATGACCACTGAATACCCTCTGTTTCCGAGAACCAGGTGTTCGTCGAGTGCAAACCACACAACACAAGTGACGACAGGTGTCTACAAAATGAAAATGTTTCTTGATAGATTAGAGTGTGCACTTCAAATATAGTTAGGTGCATTCGATTTGAATCAAGCAAATTGTAAATATTCAGCTTTAAATGGGGGAGGGGGAAGTGACCCTTTTTTGTCCTTCCCCTATATAGCGATCCCAATAATTATTGATCTGGAAATCAATCGATTTTTTCTGAAGAGGGGGTGATTTTGAACCTGTAAGTCTTCTATAATTAATTAAGTCCCCTATGATTCTTCCTCCTTCCTAATTCAGGAAGCTCAAATTTATAGAATTCTCACGCCTGTTACTAGAGCCTGCCTAGTGAATTATCTCTGCAGGGAGGATATATGGGCCATGGACTGTAACTGATTACCTATTTCCGAG